CTATATTTTTCACATGAGAAGACTCGTGATCTGGATGTAAAAGTGATCCGAGGATGATCTCGCACATGGTGATAACATGGTTCTGATCGTGTGCACAGGGTTCACCTGCCAGGAGCCGTACTCTTAAAGAAAAACTGACTCTCCCTCCCCAGAAGCCATCTCCTGTACATACTCCTCAGCCAGGGATGAGGACTCATAGCCCTTCCTACTCCATGGGGGAATGCTGGCTGTTCTCCTTCAGGGCTGGTGCAGGCAGCCACTGATGCTGAGAGTTCATCACTGAAGCAGTCATGCCATGTCCAGATGCGGTTTGCTCTGCTCCATCCACCTTCTGGCTCTCACAGTCTCTCTAAGGCTTTTTCTGCGATGGCCCCGGAGCCTCAGGCGGGGTTGTGATCTAGGTGTCCCATTTGTGGCTGAGCACCCAACTGACACTTATTCTCTGCATTTTCACCCATTGTGAGTTTCTATGTTAACCACTGGCCAGTGCACCATGAAACTTCTCTGATTAGGTTGGAGTGCTGCATTAATCCATGAGTATGGAGACATGAGTTTGGAGACAAGGATGATGTCCTTTTAGTAGAGTACCAGTAGTAGGTTCACCCCTGGGCCAGGAAAACGTGAGTTTAAGACAGATTTTACAATATCAGACATGTGCTCCCCCCTGTGGAGGAGGCCTTAAATCCAATCAGAAAGCGGTTGGTTACCCCCATAACAGTCATGCCTCTATTGTGCCCCTGGGTCTACGTCAGTACATTTGTCTTTACTGAAGTTCAGTGGGTTGAGAGCGGGGAAGGACTGCTGAAGGCTTTTACCCTCAGCAGTCTACATAGCACCTTCCACTGCTGAGCTAGCCACGGCGAAGAAACTTCCTGCTCAGTACTGACTTGACTTCCCCATGCCCTGTGACAAGTGTTGTCAGAAATGGAGTCTCACCATCAAGTTCTGGTGGGTAACCAAGAGCAAAGACAGGGCCTGTATTGTTCTGGGGTCTCTGGGACAACTCTGACCAACAGCGCTGGGATTTTTATTTGGCAACCTATAGCTTCTGGGATGAGAATTATCCCCGTGTAAATTAACTCCAATTAAGTTAACTTACAAGTTAAATGTGCCTAAAATTTTATAAGATTATATGTATAGTGTGGGGGGACATCCTTATACAATACTAGGTTTCCGCATGGCTTCCGCCAACATTCGTGCTGGGCATGTCTCTCCTCAGCTCTACCCTACACTCTTTCTCACCACTTAAAACTTCTCCAAATTGTTTGTAAAAAGATTGAAGGAAACCAGGCATGGTGGCACAGGCCTTTAGTCCCAGCACTCAGGAGGCAGAGGCAAGAGGATCTCTGTGAGATCTCAGCCAGCCTGGTCTACATAGCAAGTTCAAGGCCAACTGGGGCTACAGGGAGACCCTGTCTCAAAACAACAACAACAACAAAATATTGAAGTAAATAGGAAAAAATATTAAGAGACTAAATGGTGAAAAACGTTCTGTCATGTTCTGTCCCTCACAAATTTTTACTGCGAGCCTGAATGCACTATGTACTTTGCTTGCACAGGTGCAGCACACCTGTCCTCTGCATGAATGAACATCTGTGTTCAGTCCTGTTTCGATCCGCTGTAGCCGCTGCCCCTTCTGCATGGTAGATGAACAATAAGCAGCAATGGAAACCTGTAAAGAACTTTCTCAGGAGACACAGGCTCTCATGGATGTTTTAGTAAATTCTTCCATCTGTGCATTGCTGTGGAGAGAGCTGCAGGTTACCGAGACAGGCGCTTCCTTGGGCGTAAAAACGGTCTGGGGAGTGTCTGTAAGTCGAATAGACGTGTGCTAAAGTGTTACAAGGCAGAGAGTTTATACTGGACATTCCTGCCTTTGTGTTGATGTCCCAAATAGGATCCTTTCCCTGAAGGCAAAATTTACAGAGACAGACAGCACAGCGTGGACCAGACCAGGCCAGCACAGGCGGCGGATGCTCAGACAGACCTTGGACAGGGGCTTTCTGGTGCCTTTGCTGCCACCATGTGTGCAGCCTGAGAACAACACTGATGTGAACTGACTTGAAGCCCTGCCAGCACCCAAACTCCTTTGGCTGTGTGTGAGCTGGTTGGAATCACAGAGAGCTCTGGCAGTCTCGCAGTGTCCACTTTTACACACGTAACAGACTGTCTGTCCTGTTACACTCGTATGAATGAATTAACTGCCAGGGTCCTCGGTTTCCCATTCTTTTTTATCAGATGTTGGTAGCGAACATTTAGTTGGACTTTGTGAGTGTCCATTACAACCTTGTGTGTAGGATGACCCCGTGGCTAGCATGATGGCGTGGTCAGGATGCCCTCTGTGGCAGGAAACTGAGTGCCATTCAACGCAGAACCTCTGGTCTTTCTTTGCAGCCTCCATTTCATTGTTTTTGACACTGAGACGGCTCACGACATCCTCAAGGTCTGGGATGGCCCCGTGGACGGTAACATCCTCCTGAAGGAGTGGAGTGGCTCGGCCCTGCCTGAGGACATCCACAGCACCTTCAACTTGCTCACACTGCAGTTCGACAGTGACTTCTTCATCAGCAAGTCTGGCTTCTCCATCCAGTTCTCCAGTAGGTGCACAGTGCTTCCTCACTTGGCTCACCATGGGTGCAGAATGCTGTGTTCTTGTGTGGGGTGCGTCATCTGTCGAGCAGTTTGAATCTAGGAAAGCACGTATGGTCAAGGAGAAGTGGTTTCTTTTGTTGTTGTTTTTGTTTGGAGGGAGAGAGGGGATCTCTTACCTCCTTCTGGGCTCATGGATACGGTCCCAATGATAAAAGACAAACTGATAGGAGAAGCATAGCCAAATTTATTCAATATCAGCTTTCTGTGGCTTGGAAGTCTCTGCAATGTAGACAGAAGGAAAGGCGTAGAGGCTCTGGGGGAAGCATGCTTGGTGGGCCGACGGGGTGACCAGGTGGCCATCAGGGTGTGACTCTGCTGTGCCCTGCTGGATTAGACTCCCTTCCCATGCTGTGCACTCTTCCGCATCTAGGAGGAATGTTTTGGAAGGACAGTCTTGTCACTAACCTTAGGGGAGGATCAGAGGGTTCTTGCGTGTCCTACTTCAGGACCTAGTCACAGGCTGCCGGAGAGGTGCCTGTGGGCCATGTTTAGGAGCATCCCAAACCCATAAATATCAACAGAAGCTGGCTTAGGAAACTGTGTTCATTACCAGATAGAAACAGTTACATGGGCAAAATAATGACTCTGACGGCTTCACCTGGCCAGGGAGTACCTCGGCCGCAGTGGAAAGCAGATGTGTGTCTGGGGTTTGTATCTGGGGTTCTCCCCAAACTGGTGGTGACTGTGACCCTCTAAGTAGTCTTTCAAGGCTGTGTGGGGCTTTGGCTGCCTGCTGTGGAGGCTCATGTTTGATGTGATGTTCTCTATCTCCCAGGGCACAGTACAAGTGTCTACATTTTTCCTTCCTCCAGCTAAAGCTTGAAGTCACTAATAGAATAACCTCTGCTAAATTACTATTGAGAGGCACATTTACACACTTGAACTATTAGCCCCATAGATAGTCCCCATCCTTACTGCCCAGCCCATTTCATGAATTGTTTCCTCAGAAGGACAGGATAGATGTGGTCCTTGGCAGTTCAACCTTTTGGTGCCCTTCAAAGAGCCCCAGGTAGAGCCTCGGTGGCACTCGAGGTCAGCCACAGTCGTAAAACAAGTGGAATCTGCTCATAAACACGTCCCTATGCAATTGTCTTTGGCAGGTCAGTGATGAGCCATGTTTAGGATTTACATAAGGAAATTGACTGAGGTCCAGTTCATGCATTAAAAGGTTGCTAATGAAATTGAGGTTACAGTCTCCACAAATTCTTTCTCTGGTTTCACTATATAAGGCATTAATTTGCAAACACGTATCTGTGAAATCATACCTTTATTTTTTTTTTCATTAATTTTTTTGAGACCGGGTCTCATGGGAGCCCAGGCTGGTGTCAAGCTTGCAATGTAGCCAAAGATGATGATGAATTTTGATCTTCCTGCCTCCAGCCCCCAAGGGCTGGGATTAGCATGGGCTTCTGTGGTACTGGGGATTGAACCCAGGGATCATATGTGCTAGGTTCCTGCTCTACTGACTAAGCCACATCCATGGACCCGTATCTTTATATGGAAGTGTTCTCAGTGTCCTGTGGTAACTAACTGTCCAAGAAGTTACACCTTCAGGAACCATCATATCTCGAAAGAGTCTTGTGATTCAGGATTAATCTTTGATTGTACTATAAATCGTCTTGTTTTCTGAAATCACAATGTGTTGATCTGTATTTGTTAGACTTTATTTGGCTAACCCAAAGCTCACAAGGTAGCAGGTGATGCTCACTGCCCAGCTTCTGCTTTCTGTCTGCACTCAGCCCTTTCCGGTTTAGTAGACTTTTTTCTATAGTACTTTTAGGTTCGCAGCAAACTTGAAGGTGTAGAGCATTCTCATAAACATCCTGATGGACTCCCACACTCTCCAGAATTGGTCAATTTATGAGCTCAACTGACACCTTGTTATCACCCAAATTACAGTCATATTAGCGTGCTCTGGTCTATGTAAGGCTGTAATGACATGTGACCACCACCTGCTCTCTTTCTGAACAGACATTGTCTCGTGGCCCCAAAGAAGCACTTTGCTCCCTCCCTCCCCCATCCCCCTCCCTCCTCCCCCACTCCCCCCTCCTCCCAGGCCAACCCTGACCATCTTCCTTCCTGGTCTCCAGTGTCCCGCTCCCCCAGATGCCTCATGGCTAGAATTACACATCATGCAGCATTTTCCAGGGGCCTCTTCCTCTTTGCCCTCATGGACATTTAAATGCTGTCCATGTCTTTTTAAGGCTGGGATGCTCACTTCTTTTTAGAGGTGAATAATAGTCCATTGTTGGATAGACCCGAAGTTGCTTAGCCATCTCTGGGCTGAAAAAAATGTCTCAACTGCTTCCTAGTTTGGGCAGTAATAAACACAGCGGCTTTTCTCTCTGTTTTTAATGTTTATTGTGTGAACCCTAGAGTCCCTCATTTTTGGTGTGTTCTTTCAGGACTCTCTGTTTTCAGAGGGCATGTTCCTAATTTCAGTTAAATATAATCAAATTACTTTATTATAACTTTTTGAGCATCATAGATCCTTCCCTTCCCTTTGCATACTTATTTAATATATTAACAGGAAGAGAGGGTATAATTGCAAAATTTTCCACTGAAATGAAATATCTATCATTTCAATTTGTAGCGTTTCTAGGTGTATTAGTTGTAGCACGTGGAGTTACGAGAGCCTGAATGCCAGCAACTCTGTGACTTAGTGCAGATTTGCATAGAGTCCCTCGCTCTGTCCTGTTCTAGTTAATGAACCCCTAGGTGTATCACAGACATGAAGAAACAGCACATTCAGGAGTGAATGCTGTACATTGATACTTGGGCTTTCTGTTTCTTGTCTGTCTCAGTCTGTCTTTGTCTCTCTGTCTCTCTCACTCTGTGTGTGTGTGTGTGTGTGTGTGTGTGTATGTGTGTGTGTGTATGTTTTGTTTTGAGATAGGCTCTCACTGTGTAGACCTGGCTGACCCAGAACAAACAACCTGTGCATACAGCCTGGTTTAAAACTCAAAGAGCTCTGCCTGCTTCTTCTTCCCTGGTGCTGGGATCATAGGCACTACACCCACATCAGGCTTTTTCTAGACAAGTTTCTATGAAATTCATTTAAGGAAAAGTCAGGACATAAAAACATGGCATGGGCTGTGACTCTGGGGATTTAGGTTTCCTTCTTGGCCTGCAGTGAGAGGGAGGCGGCCCGCTGTCTGCTTGAGACTTCGTTGGCCTGGCTGTACTCCTGAGAACCTGTGAACACACCACGCAGCTTCCAAGAGCAGGGATCACAGCAAAGGGCGACATATACAGACACCTGCACATGTAAGCACAGGAGGAGAAACACGCAAAGGGAGCTGAGCATGCACATGAGAGCAAGGCTCACTGGAGAGCCCAGGCATGTGGTGAAATGGCTAATCTCACTACTGTCTTAGAAAGTGTCCAGTATGGGATCTCTGGGCTAGACCCAGGACTTGAAGCTGTGTCTGTGTGTACCTGTGAAGAAGATAGCCAAAATTAGGAAAAATAAACTCCATTCCAAAGAAAGGGAAAGGGGACTTCAGAAATCCACGGGGAAGTAAACAGATACCCAAAAGCTGCAGAAAAGAGGACAGACATCACACTGTGAGGGGCAGGGTGGCAGAGGTCATCCACAGCTCCCTTTCAGGGTCAGGCTTCCAAAGCAGTCAGCTTCCTCCTTGCTGAGTCCTCAGCAGAAGCTCTCCAAATAAAAACTCAGGAGCTGGGGCTGGTGAGATGGCTCGGCAGTTAAGAACACTGGCTGTTCTTCCAGTGGACCCAAGTTTGTTTCCTAGCACCTACATGGAGGCTAACAACAATCCATAACTCCAGTTCTAGAGGACTCTGAACTTCTGACTTCTGACTCTGCAGGTATTACATGACCTAGGTGCACTTACACACATGTAGGCAATATACTCATAATATACACATTAAAAAAAAATAACAAAAACCGGGTGTGGTGGTGCATGCCTTTAATCCCAGCACTTGGGAGGCGGAGGCAGGTGGATCTCTGTGAGTTCAAGGCCAGCCTGGTCTATATAGTGAGTTCCGGGACAGCTGGGGCTACAGGGAGACCCTGTCTCAAAAAGACCAAAAAAAAAAAAAAAAAAATCCAAACCAAAATAAAATAAAAAGAAAAACCCTCATGAGCTATCCAGACCAACAAATGCACAAAATACAACACAGAAACACTGAATATGAAAAGGCAGACCCCTCTGAAACACCATAACTCCACAGCTAAGGAAAAACAAAAAACAAAAAACAACCAGGTGAAAATGTCAGCACAGCAATAGAGATGCAGACTGGCTGACTGGATATGAAAATTAGATCCGAATGTCTGTTGTCTCCAAGAAACACGCCCCATTGCTAAGGACACCCACAGCCTTCAAGTCAACAGATGAAAAATAATCTATCAAGCAAATAGAAAAAATAAAAAACAAGTAGTAGAGCTGTCCTGATATCTAATAAAGTGGACTTCAAACCAAAATTACTCAGAAGAGATAAAGAAATCCATACATATTAGTAAAAGGAGAATCATCCAAAGTATAAAACAGTTGTAAAGCTATGTGGACCAAATGTTGGAATTCCCAACTTTATAAAACAAGCACTAATGGACATAGAGCCCCAGATAGGTCCTGACACAGTGATACTTAAGTGTCCATGTTAGATTTTCTTGTCAACAGAACACATTGTCACACTTGCTAATTGATGTAGGAAGATCTAGACCATTGTGGCAGCACTGTGCCTTGGCCGGTTGTCCTGAGCTGTGTAAGAAACTATCTGAGTAAAAGCCAGTGATGAGCCGACAGTCAGCATAGCTACACGGATCCTGACGGTTCCTGCCCTGACTTCCTTCAGGGATGAACTAGGATCTGGAAGTGTAAACCAAATAAACCCTTTCCTCCCACGAGGCTTTAGTCAGAGAGCGTTTATCACAGCAGCAGATCGGGAGCTAGAACAGTACACAATTTCAATGCTCCAC